CGCAGGCAATTGAAGAATGCAGGGCTGCTGTATGCAGAGGCACCGTGCCTACCGAACGTCAGTGTGCCGGAGCTGATGGCCATGGAGAAGTCCAAGTCACGTTTCATGATGTTCAAGGAAAAAATGTCGGAGGATATGTACCTCAAGCAGGCCAAGCTCGGCGAGGTGATGCCCACCGGCTCCAAGCCCGATCATATTAACAATTTGAACACCACCTTCGGCTGTGAGACCAACTCGAGTGGCGGCGTCTACGATATCATCTTGCCGCGCAAGCCGGCGGAGCAAGTGAATCGTGAATATGGCAAATTTCACGACAAATACATCCTCAGTCACAATCACTATTTTCCCTCGGAGCAAATTAATCGCAGGTACAAGAGAAACTCGACCTCCCTCTCTCTCTCTCTCTTTCTCTTTGTCTAATATCTTTTCGCTTTGCAGGTACAAGGCGCCCTTTGACAGGCGACTCACCTATGGCGCTGCCTACAATGTCGACGTGACGGGCAAGATGGTGAAGCGCTGCATGCAGCAGTGCGCCGGAAATGTGATCATCATTAGCAAGGAGCAAATGGACTTCATAGATCGCACCTATCCGCGTCTGGGCAAAAAGTTAAAGAAGTAGGTCAATCCCTCAGCTCTGTGTCGGCGCCTCTCTAATTTTGTATCTCCTGCAGATATCCCTATTCGGTGCCCCAGCATGTGACCTTTGGCAGGCCATCCCCGCCAGACCTCTGTGACGGCAAGATGCTCATCGAGGACATATCACCATGCCAGAGCAATAAGCATCTGATCGACGCCTTGGGTCATCTCAACATGTGGCGCCACAAGCTGCAGTTGCGCGCCGACTTCCAAATGTTCGATCTCATCTCGGTGCTGGAGCACAGTGATAAGGAGCAGACGCGTCATCTGCCGCTGAAGAAGATCTTCGAGGTGATGCACAAGATGCATCTGTATATCGATATCTACAAGATGCGCACCACTCTCTCGCATTTCAAGATGATCCTCGACGAGAACTGCCCCAACGAGCGCGTGAACTACGACACGTTCTGTCAGCTGCTCAACATACAGCATCCGCTGCCCACGATGGGAAATATATCAATGATGCCGCCGAATGTCTACAACAAGGATACCACCTATCGGCTGCTCTGTGCCGATCTTGGCAAGACACCGGTGGAGGCGGCGCCGTTGCTGAAGAAGAGCCCCAAGAAGACGGACGATGACAATACACGTGTCAAAGATTTGCTCACGCCGGATATAGCGACGCTGTATGGTCTGCTGCCCAGCGATTTTCAGATGCTGCGACCCAGGGACCATTTAGAGGAAATTTTTAAGGACATTGTCAGCGAAGCGGACTTTGAGACGATTTGGCAGCAGCTTATGAACACGCACAAGGACCAAGATGGCTTGGTCTCTATAGTTCAGTTCCGCGATGTCATGGACAATATCGAGCTTGCCGGCCAGACAGCCAATGCATAGAATAACAAAAATTTTAATTAACACAAATTTAAAGTAGCACGCGCAAGAATTAATTCAAATTGGAATTAAAGTAGAGCAAGCCCTTTTTACACTGCTTTGTCGATAATTTAAAAATTATAACGATATGAGATACGGCTTTTAAATATAACGATATTATAAATTTGCGCGATGATTTCACGTGTTTATCTATCGATGTAAAATCTTGCTTGATTTCAAAATTCGTTGCATCATGTATCAAATGCAAAGCCTAAATTTTTAATTTTTTGAAGTCTGTAAAAAGAAAAAAAAGTAAAGTAAAAAGTATTAATAAAATTACAATATCTGCACGACTTGGTCGATATATCGACAATAATAGACGAGTGCAAAATTTTAAAATTTACATATCGATATATCTGTTATTGCAAAAGAGAACGCTCATTATATCGATATTCGCTTCTCAATATATTTGTATCGATAAGTCTCGCATGATTTCAAAAATGCAGCTAATATGAAATGCCGGAGATCTGGCGTATCCATTGTAAATGATGAGTCACACGGATAAAACCAGCTGGCGCTGAAGAGAGGCAACTGCTAGCATCGCTGAACGAGGTGATGCCAATCAGCTTGGGCTCATCATACGTGACCAGTGGACCGCCGGAGTCGCCATCACAAATGGATCTGCCTTCGGGTGTGCCCACACACAAAACGCTGTCCGGGAGCTTGCCATAGCTGCGCGAGCACTCAGCATTGCTGATCACATTCAAGTCGATGCACTGCAGCCAGTCGGGCATATCGCTGGCATCGGAGGTGCTGCCCCAACCACAGGTGATGACCGCAGAGTTCTCAAAAGTCTCCTCAAGCTGATTGAGGCCAGGCAGCTTCACCTTGTTGACCAGCGACCAGAAGTCCACATGTGGCGTGCGTATGAGCGCAATGTCATTGCCAATGCTGCCCGGCCAGTCGGGGTGCTGCACCACATCCTCGATGCCCACCTCCAAGTGGAAGAGCGCCTGCGTTCGCCTCGTAGCTCCATAGTAGATGCTCACCCCATCAATGTGATCCGTGCAGTGGGCCGCAGTTAGCACCCAGCTGTGATCTATGATCGAGCCACCGCACCACCTGCCCATCTGACCCTCACGTAGCAGCAGACCCACAATGTAAGGTGCTTGCCCCACAACAGCCGGATAGCCATTGGTTATAATGGAGTCCGCCGTGGCCGTCAAAGGACCAGCATGAACTTGGAGCGGGATTGAGAGCGCTAAAAGCCGAAGTGTTAACCAAGCGAACTGCATTGCCATTAGACTAATGTACTACAGAGAGAGCTGTCCAATGATATTTATAGAGATTGATGAGTCTAAATTACTCAACTTGAAGACGATTAGAGACTGTATTATCTTTAAGCTTAATGACATTAGACATTATGAGCTTTGTTAATGGGGAATTGTGCATACTGACAGTATACTCTATAGAGCAAAATATAGACGGAAATCTCTAAATTTTGAATGAACCTTAGATGGTTTTTGTTAGCTATAGAAGAGCAATTCTTAACTTTTAAGAAAATCTTCAATATCAATCTCTATATATGATTAACATATCTTGGTAACAAACTCTTAAGCTTAAGAGTAAAGTCTAGAAGTTAAATATAAACATGTTCTCTAAATATCAGCAAAATCTCCAAATTATTTATAAATTCACAAACGCATTCACTCTGCAGTTATGCTTTACACACTTTACCTTAACAAAAAAAAATCAATTTACGTTTCTTAAAGCTATTTACATTTTTATTTACAATATTCTGATTAATTTACTTGGCGTTGTCTAGAAAATCTTTGGCCTCGTTTATTTTTGCCGCCAAATAGGGAGAGCCACCGCGATCTGGATGATTCAGTAACATTATCCTTTTATGCGCATCCTTAACCTGGTGTCACAAATCCACAAGTCAGTAAAGATTAGTGACTGATCAACATGTGTTCCGCTACTCACCTTTAGCTTGGAGGCACTGGGACTGACGCCTAGTATGAGGGACGCTTCGCGTTTATTCATTTTGGGATCGAAGCCGCCTTTGTAGTATTTGGCATTGGCCATGCTCTCCGCATCGAATTTGGGCAGATTCTTGAGCGCCTCGTTGAATTTGCTTGTCATCTGTGGCATGCGGCGCAGCAGGTGCTTGCCAGCGAAGCCCACTGCGGCCACGCCAAGGCCTGCTAGGATGATGGAGCTCGTCTTGTATTGTTGGATAGCACGCGGGTCAGGTTTCATTTGGTGCAGGGGCATTGCGTTAAAATATGAAACGAGGTTCGAAAAATTTGTACATGTATTTCAGGCGTATTATTTATAATTTTACACAAATATCTATTCTAAATTTTGTACCATTTTATGTAATCGATGTATCTGACGAAATCAGCTGTGACTTAAAATGTGATGACTGCTTGAAACAGCATCTTATCGCAATGTTGTGCACGATGTGGCAGTGAAATCGAAATACACAAATATCGATTGCTAAACAGACGAAACTGCCTGTTTATAACGGAATATCGATTTATGCACTATCATACAATTGTCATCATTTTTGTCGTACACATATCTAAAGTAATTTGTTTTGTTTCTTTTTAACTAATTATAATTGTCAAAGTGTTCAATACATTTCTGATGGAAGCATATACGCGAGCATACTCTATAGTTCTGATACATTTCTGACTTTTATAACAATTGAGTAAACTTTCATATATGGCTGGAAAACTTATTGATGCAGGTTTCTAATTGAAAAGGGAAGCGGACTAATAAATTAAATTCGAAAACAAACTTAAGCTAAAAACTAGGGGATACAACAAGTATTCATATTTAAACTAAAGAAACCAAGTGCAATTAGCGGCCCTTTCCATTTAAATATTTCCATTAAATATGAATTCACCTCCATTCCCAAGTTAATCATAATTATTTTATTGTGCGCACAAATACTTCTATTCAATCAAGTAACTTTGGCATGTTTAGCTCGTTTTGTTTGCAAGACAAAAGCTTGACAGTTTCCATTCCAATAATCAAATTTTAATAAAAACCAAAATAAAAAGCAGCTGTTTTTTCAGCTGACCAAATATCAAAATTCTGTGTACAACAGCTGATTTTCCAAAACCAGGGCTGCCACAAGTACTCAACAGTTGTGCTGCAGCTGCTCAGCTGTGGCTTGAAAACGAATTTAATTGTTCAAAAGAAACATGATTTTGTGCAGCACCTTTAACAAAATCACTTAATTACAAAAGTTTTCCACTATTATTATATACTAATTTAGTTTTTAGGCATTTAGAAAATTGAAAAAGTTGTTTGTGGAATTCAATCGATGTTTGTGCGCACTATCGATTAGTTTGACTTATCGATTCGTCTTGGTATCGTTCGAAACGTATCGGGCTCACACAAAACAAGTGAAGAAGAAGCGTGAAAATTTGATGTGCAAAGTTTTAAAAACGAAATTTTTCTATATTATTGATTAACAGAAGCAAAAAAGTGTCAATTGGCTTTATAGGTGATAAATTTGTGTGTCTGTGTCGTTGATGTGTTGTTGTTGGCGGTGCTGTTGGTGTTAGCTGAAGTAGAACAAAAACTACAAAAATATATATTTGGCGAAAGGCATCATCAGCAGTGAGCATCGAGCAGCCGTCAAACTGGAGCGTATTCCGGAGTATTTGCGCGACACGGTCGACTGGTTGATGGGGTAAGTGCGTAACGTAATCAGCTGCAGCAGCATAAATACCCAATGCGCAAACATTCAGATGCAAACGCAATGGGATGTGATTTTTTTTTTATTTGTTATAAATAGTATGCAGCCTGCCCTAAAGACGATAACAGCGACGAAGCGACAGCGAAGTCGACATCGACATCGCGACGTAACGTCGTCTTGTCGCTTTGTCGCCTCGTCTTGGTGGTGTCTTTTGTGTCCTCTGTGTATTGCTTCGTCGCCGTTTGGCATTTTGCCAATTGGCCTCATTTCGCATCTCTTTTTCGCCGTCAAAAGCAAAAACTTTGTTGTTATTTCGTCTGGCCTAGCCGCCATCGCAGGAGTTTCATTTGCTGATATTGTTTTTGTTTTTTCTACTTCGTACTGTTGTTGTTATCGCTCTGCCCTGCAAAATCAATAAAATCCATTTTTGTTTTTTTGTTATTGTTGTGTTTTTATCGATTTCTCAAATGTAACGCAAGTCAAGTCGCAAGTGTTTTGATTTTTATCTACTCGCACGCAAACCAATACACACAAGCATAAACACAAACACAAGCGAACACAGTTACATATGCACACGCACACACAGACGCAGGCAGGCATGCTCACTCACGCACACAGATATTTATTTATGCACTTTGCTTCCTCGTGTCCATTCATCAAGGCCAAACTGCATTTTCGATATCGTTTATTTGTCTTTATCCTCGTTCGTTCGCTCACTTTTTGACCCCCTTCGCCTTCCTCTACAACTACTCGCTTCCATTGTTACTGCGCCTATGGCGTGCTGCTGCTTTTGTTGTGGCTCTTCTTCTTCTACTTTTTTGTTTAAGTTTGTACGCATTTTTGTTGTTGCTGAGCGATAAGCGAAGCCGGTTTAATGAACTTGCCAATTTACTCACAATCTGTAATCAAAATGTAAAAACAAACAAAACACATAGCAACAACAATAACAAACAGTTTCATAGATCATCTAAATAAACGCACACAAAGGCACACTCTCTCGCACACACATACACATAAGTAAATACAAGAGAAAGAGAATTTGAAGAGAAGAATTATATACATATGTGTGTATATGAATATATAGACTTTTCGATACTCTGCAAATACAGTAGTCTCTGGAATTGTGAAGCAAATCTATAATACATATTTATTTACAAATTAATTATTGTCTGTTAACTTAAATCAATAAATTTATGCTGGAATTGGAGCAAAAATTAATATACAGAAAAATAGAGAAATAATTAAAACATAGCAACAATTTATTTAATAACGTAAATTAAAAAAAATTAATATAAATAAATTAAAATTCTATTTATTTGAAATGTATTTATGAACTTAAAACTTTTTTTAATATTAAATATTTTTATGTTTTATCAACTTATTTGTTGTAAATTTTATCGTGACAATTTAATATATCTATTATATAATTAATAAAACTATGTGAAAGTAAAATGACATGACACAAAATGATAATATAATAAAAAACAAACTCGAAATACAGTTTGAACTAAATTTTTTAAATATAGATATCAATCAATTGCTCACATTCCTAGTAGCTACTGTATGCATTCATACTTGTATAAGTAAATATTTAAAAATTCCTATTTTACGTATACCAATTTCTATATTTAAATACGTTGGTAAACAATCAATAAATTAAAAGAAACACACATTTTTAATATTTTGACTTGTATTTAAACAAAAATTTTAATTATATACATAAATAAATCTGAAGCTATAAAATTATAAGGAAATCGAAATCGAATGAATCAGATATTATTTCATTGAACTGTCTAAATTTTAAATTTAAATGAAACTATTCCAGTTCGGAAAGTTTAGATTGTAATTCTTATAGAGACAAAATGTAATTTAATTTAATAGAGAAGCAGCTCTCGAAGCATCCATCCGAAACATCGAGACCTTTTCTGCAGTGAATTCCGTTATGTGCAATCATACATATGTTTGCTTTAAAGAGGGTAGGGTAAGTGTTAGTTGGAAATATCACATGTAACTTGTGTGTGGGGGAATTCAATTAGCCGAGATTATATATGCCAGATGCACATGCATAATGCATACATACATATATATAATATATGACTAGGCATCTGTACAATATATATGTAAGGGAGCAACCCTCAACTGTGTGGAAGGGATGGGAATAGCGGAGGGTGGTGCTTGATGACCTTGAGGCACACTTAGCACAACTCTAATTGAATTAGACGACAGCCAAGCAAAAGCACATAATGGAATAGAGAGACGGAGAGTGAGAGAGAGAGAGAGAGAGAGAGAGATAGGTAGGGGTAGACCTAAGGACAGCGTAAGTGGGAAAGAGCAAGCGATAGACATATGCAGTTGCAAGTTGCGAAATAACAACTCTTCACGTCCGGAATTGATTGACAGGGCTGACAAATCAGTTGGCTAAATCAATTTCTAACGGGTCGTGGGTTGGCCGGCGGGTCGGGAGGGCAAGACGTGCGATTTAGTCGATGCTTCTTAGCGCTGGCCCTGCCGTAGACCCAGTGCCTCAGCTCAGTTGCTTTTGGGCTATCGGACGCGGCTGTTGGTTGGGTCCGTTCCATTCCATTTCGTTTCGTTGCGCTGCGCCATGAACTGGGCCATCTCGAATCTGACGGGCGGCAATCGGGTGAGCCGTGCGATACTCGTGCGCTACTCCTCGGTGCCGCTGGCCGAGGATGGCGGCTCCTCGATGGCAACGACGACGCCCGCAGCTGGCACGCCGCGCGCCTCGAACAGCGCAATGCATTCCTCGTTGTCCTCCACATTCGCAGCCACATTCCTGCGACAGCAGAGCAGCAACAGCAACAGCAACAACAACAACAGCGGCAGCAGCAACAGCAGCAGCAATCATAATAATAGCAGCAGCAACAACAACCACAGCAACAGCAGCAAGGGCCAATCGAGTGGAGCTGCGAGTGGAGCTGGGAGCAATTCAGGCAATGCTCAGCTGTCGCTGCCACTCGATGTGGAGGAGACGGTCACCTGTTTTTGTCGGTAAGGCATCAGGATCGTTGGCGAGGGGGGAGGGGAGGTGTAGCAGAGGTAGCGGGAGAGGCAGAGCAGCTGCTCGTAAAGCTTCTCAATTTGTGAAAGTTAATTGGGCATTTAGCAAATATTTCTGTCTGTATTTTCTTTTAAAGCCATTTAGTTAATTTACTTAACACTTGCATAATACGCGCTTCGTGACCAACTGTTTCTAAAGCCGTTAAATATATGTAATGTACATATGTGTTACGTACACAGATTTTAAAGCAACATATAACATAAGTCATACAAGAAAAAGTTTGGGCTCGTTACAAGCTCACAAGAAATGAATGTATTCATTTCAAATACTCTTCTATGCAATTCTCATTGGTGTATTAATAATTAAAAATACAAATTTGTTGTAATTATTGATGTAGTTTTAAATAGAATACGATTTTAAAATAATTATAAATATATTATTTGAAATTCTTCGATTTTCATATATGTATTTAATTTACATTGGAGATTGAAACAAATCAATGCTAAACTGATTTAGATTGTCTCTAACTGCTTATTTAAATTCTGTATTATTCCAATTGGGAAATTCCACTGTTCCATATATTCTGCCATTCTCTATTTGTCGTTATCGACGATTCTCACATATCTAATTTGCTTATAGAGATGTCAATAGATCAAAGCCAAAATGATTTAAATTTTCTCTAAATGCTTAATTAAATTCTGTATTTTTCCACTCTACCTCTGTTTCTACCTTTTCCTGCTCATTTTTATTTGCCTAAATTTTGATGTAGTATATAAACAAAGCTAAAAATGCATATTTCACAAAATATCAAAGGTCTCTCTATTAGCCAAACAGAACATCTTATTCAATACAGAAGATACCAATAGATCAAAGTAAAACTTTTTTTAATTGTTTCTAAATAATATTGTTATATTGTGTATTTCTCCAATATAACAATCCCACTCTTTCTGTTTTCTCTGCTCAATTTTATTTGTATCCCTTTTTGATTTAGTATTAAAAGGAAAACCGGCAAAAACTATCCGCGTTTAGGAATATCTTTTATTGGAGCACCAATAAATAAGAATTCAATTCAATAAGAAACTGAATCTTTCATCAAATGCTTTGTATAGTCGCTCTCAACGAATCTCATATATTTGGTTAGATGATATTTTTATAAAGCTGCCAATAGATCAAAACTAAATCGTCTCCATACACTTAAATTCTGTATTTTTCCAATTAGCTTATTTTCTCTCTTCCCAGTTTCCCCCACATTTCTAATCACTTCAAGTTTATATTTTACATCAAGACAAATCAATAAACTCGTAATTTACTCACATTTTCAAGGGTATCTTTAGTACGAGCACACAGCTTTATCTCATTTCACTTCCATTATTTTTATTCATTTCGTTCTAGCATCGTTCAAGTCAATTGGATAGCATAAATAAACAAGAAACTGCATAGCTGAATGGCTGTGCGTTGGAGTGAGATGGCTATTGTTATTGCGCACCCTTCGCTTTGCTCGCGTCGTTCGCAGAAACAGCTGATTATGATTTCGGCTGCTGTCCCATTAGTCTGACTGTGTTTATAGTTGTTGCTGGCTTTTTCTTGTTTATTTTATTGCTTGCTTCTCGGGAATTGCTGAATTTGTGTGTCCTGCGTTTTAGCTGCGCATTTAACGCAATTCCCATACCAAAAGTCGCCCCAAACTACGTTTGCTTTATAGGGTTTCCATTGGCAGACACACGCAGTCGAAAAGAAACCCCGCAGCGCACATAAGCTTATAGCTAGCAAACTGTCTAGCAAGGGTGTGGGAGGGGGAGATAGGGAGAGGGCAAAGGATAGGTCAATGCTGGTTCACACCTACGACGCAGTTTAGCACTGCTCGTATTATCGCGCCCCCTTTTGGACACAGACATAAATCACCCAGCGGCTGTCCACAAATGTTTGTGTGTGTGTGTGTGTGTGTGTGTGTGTGTGTCTGCGTTTGTCCATATGCATATGAACATGTGTGTGTTTAAGCTTGAGGCGCCTCATAAAAGTCATAGTTTGCTCTTTTATTCATTTCGTTTTCATTATTTTTGTTTTTTTTTTGCGCACTTTCAAATTTGATGGCTACATCTGACGTCATTTGTAGTGCGCATGACCCACAGCAGTTGCCGTTGCTGTTGTTGTCGCTTGTGTGGTGGCGTGACCGACTAAACGGAACTCCCGTCGCTGCCACACCGCAAGCTAAGAAAAACACATCAGAGATTAGTAGCAAAAAGCATCCCATAAACAAGCCGCAAAAACAAAACACAACTCACACCAATACATAGACATCATTGACGATCGCAAGAGAGCGTGAGATAGATAGTGAGAGGCAGAGAGAGCGGAATGAGTGCTGTTTATTTTCGCTTCTGCCTATGTTTGTTGCGGTTGTTGTTATTGTCAGCAGGAAGTGAACGTTTTGCCTACTCTCCCTCTCCCTCTCTCAAAGGCTCTATGATATTTTATTTAGGCTGTATTTATTTATTAATGTTATTTACATATTGCTGTATATAAACAAGACAAATGGAAATGGTATTAACAAACAATTTATAGGTCAAACGAAACTCAAGTTTTATATTAAACAAAAATATCACTTATAATCGACAGCTGATCTAAATCTGCAATTTTGTTTTGGTTTACTGTTAAAACAGTTGCTCGTTTATGTTGGCAAGTGGGAGGGAAAGGGACATGAATATATAGTGTGTGTGTGTAAGATAGATCGTGTGCCGTTTGATTGCTGGCCGTCTGCACTCGACTGCAACGAGGCTGCAACAGTCGCTGCAATAAATAATGAGCGCAAAGCAATTCGAATAATGGCGAATTGCTTGCGTCGCGGTCGACGTTGCCGTCGTCGTCGACGGTTGCTTGATGAAACCGCTAGAAAGCAGCCAAGCAGCGCCGTTGCAGTACATAAATACGTATGTATGTGTGTGTGCAAATGTATATGCTTGTGCGTGTGTACAAAGAGTAGCCCAAAAAATAAAATAAATATTTGAAGTGCAAATGAACTTACAGACGGGTCGACACGACTACATGATGCACAGCAGTTTCGATGCGGGCGGTCACAGGTGTTTACTGACCAGGAGGACAACGAATGACCCAAGAAGCGCAAGACAACACAAAGAGAACGCATCGAATTGCTGCCCAGAGCATAGGCGTGCTCTCTATCTCGGTCTCTTTCTTAACTACCGACAGCAGCTGGGCTGATGTGTGTGTTGTTGTTGTAGTAATTGTATTTGTGTTGAATGACGGCGCGTCTTTTTCCTTTTTTTTTCTTTTTTTTTTTTTGATTTTGGCATTTGATTCCGTGGAAGTCGTGAACCAAATGCAGTTCCTGTGTTATTTTGTTTGTTCTTTGTCTTTGGGTCTCTCTTTCTTATCAATGACACACACAAAGCGTGTGATAATTACACATAAAGAGGAGTAGGGGGTGCTAATGGCATTACAAAGGCATTCACATAAGAGGTTATGCGGGTCACAAACTTTGGGAAGTCCTGTGGTACCTGAGAATCACATAATTAAGGTGTCTGCATATTAAATTTTTGAATAAAATTTACTGTATTCTAATTTCTTTTTCTTTTTTCTTGCAGGTAAGTTTCTCCAATGTGACCATCTATTACATGTACAAGATAAACTATCAACAAGGGTAAATATAAAGGAATTGTTTATATGTTTAAAACAAAATAGAATTTCTCTCAATTGAAATCTACTCTAAAATAGCTTCTCCTTTCAAAAATAGTAGCAAATTCTACTACTATTGCAGTTACCTTCTCTGTGACAGTCTGGCAACTCTGTCAGCTGTCAGCTGCTCGCTAAAATTACAATACGCGTTTGTGTGTTTGTGCTCGCCGCTCAGCTGATGCAACGCAGCGAGCGAGAGCGTTAGTTGTAAGGAGAGCAACCAAGAGAGAGAGAGAGCGAGAGAATGAGAGAGAGAGAGTGTGTCAAACAAGTGGTTGTGTGCTGTGAGTATATGTATACATCTGTTCTGGTCGTGCTTGGCTGCCGCATTTGTATGCAAAGCACACAACGAAACATTTACGGCTCGCTCTCACTTGCGCTCTGAGAAAACCAGTTAATAATATATCTGGATATATATACTCTATGCGTGTTCAAGTCTGTCAGTGTGTGCGTGCAGCGACTGCGTCGCTTTCGAGCCAGCAGTATTAAAAGAAACTAACTGCAACAACAACAACAAACACAACGATACACCATCATTCGCCATCGTCATCTTTGGCTGTATGCTCTGCTTTCGTTCGGCAGCTTCTGTGTGTTTTGCATGAATGTGTGTGTGTAATGTTGCATGTGTGTTTGCCAGTCAGTCAGTCAGTCAGGCCAGGCAGCTGTCAAAGTCTTGCTGCCTGCCTCAGTATAGAAATTTCCTTTGGCACGTTTGGTCGCACGGTTTCGATGTCTCCGTCGTCGTTGTCGTCGGGTCGCCGTCTAAACTCCGTGACTTTACGTTTTTGACTTTGTTTGGAGGCGCGCATCAGATTAGCAAATTTTAATAACAAAAATAAAACAATTTAAAAGTTATAAAAATGCAAAAAATATAACCGTAAATAGTGAATACAAATAAACTGTGAATCCTGAATAGCAAAATAAAAAAATACAAAAAAACGTCAAGTAAGCAAGAAGGAGTTCACTATACTGTGTCAGTGTATGCGTTTGCGTGCATGTGTGTGTGTAAGTGTAAACTGTGTCATTCACAGCTAACTGCATACGAGTTTTCAATACATATACGGCAAAAATAAAGTATAAAAAAAATCAAACTGTTTAGCTACCTCTTCAGCAGTAGCCGCATTACAACTTTTATTATTGGAGTTGTAGTTGTTGTGTTTGTTGCTGCCACGGTTTGTTGCTTCACTGATTACGCGCAATGCAGCGGCAGCAGCAGAAGCAGCCCCAGCAGTAGCTTTGCAAAACCGGCGAAGCGCGACTGTTGCCAATGCAACGCTTAGAATTGGCACAGCAACAAAAACAAACAAACAACAACAATAATAACGGTTACGGCGCATCGAGCTTTTGCTTTGGCTAGTAACTGTAACCAGTAAGCAGCAAACTAGCAGCCACAGTAGCAGCAGCAGCGCCGTCGGCAGCGACAGCATCTGCTAGCGCCAGTTGTTGTTGCTGTGTTAGCGTTCTGTCGCTTGCTTGATTTTATTTCTGTATTTTTTTTTTAACCACTTCCTTTGCCGCAGTGGTCTCTGCTCTATGTCACTTCCTTACCGGACGTGTTTCCTGTCATCCCCTGCACATTCGTGCCGTCAGGTGGCAACCCTCAACCCTTGGTGCAGACAGTGAAAAAAAGCACCGCCTGCATAGCCTGTCGCACTCTTTTACAATGCAGTCCCTTCACAGTTATTTCCAGTAGCGGCAAGTTTCGTGCAAATGCGTCACCACCTACCAAACGTCGCACAGTGTGGCAAAAATCGATTGTGTTTTATGCTTAACACTTGAAATTGGGCAAAAACAAAAAGAATGGAAGCGTGATGAAATGCGCTTTGGGGTTTTATGACAATGGGGGAATTTTTTATAGGCCTACAGAAATTCATGAAAGTGTGTATACATATTTAAATATGAATATAAGAAGTTAGATAATATAGTCTATATATACATATTTGCACATACATATGTAAATATATACATACATATGTATATATTACATTTAATATGATTGATACATTAAATTTCCCAATTATGGAAATTGTATATTAGCAAAATTTCCCTATTTAACGTTGTTGAACTTCAAAGTTCTAGCCGATCTAAACGTGTGAAATTCCAAGTTTAAATACTATAATTCTCCTATTAGGAAATTATTAGAGGATTTCCCGCCCCGTTTGATCGCTGGGCAATTGTAAAACGTCTTATTACCTGTGGTGCATTCAACGCTCGTTGCTTCACTCACGTCACCAAGCAACAGCAACTGCAACAACAACAACAACAACAGCAGCAACGCAACGCAGGTTGAGTTGATATTGAGAAACTAGTTTTTATTTCTTTTGATAGTAATAATTCTACTATGATTCAAGACCGAGTAAGAGGAATAGAGAGAGTGAGAGAGAGAGAGAGAGAGAGAGTGTGTGTGTGTCTTGGAGCAGGGGCATTGATTGTGTGACTTGCTTGTTTCAGTTTCCCTTTGCTCTGTTGCCATTTCGTTTCGCCATGCTGTTGCTGTCTCCTTTTTCGTCTTTGGCTAAATGCTCGTTTGACCTTTAACGGTGCTTTGCCTGGTCGCGACTTAAATACACACACACACACAGACATAGAAAATCGTCAACAATTAAGCTCATTCAAAATGCGAGCATGGAAATTTCAGCGTACACTCGACGACACGATATTAGAATCACTTCATAAATTTTGATTTAATTGTTGTGTTGCGGTGGGCGGTCGGTGGCGGGTGTGAAAGCGCACTCAACACTCGAAATGTAAGAAGAAGAAAACAACAACAAAAGTAAATAACAAAAACAAGAGAGGGAAAAAAACAGCAAATTGACTTTAATGCGAGTTGAAGGTTAAGCGCGTTGAATGCGACGCGGAAATTGAACGAGTGAACGGCTTGTCTCACTGGAAGGGTGGGGGGAAATGGCCATTGGAATTGATTTCGTGGTTCGCTTGACAAGCTGCGAAAAAAAAGAAGACGTAGAAAAGGGAAACGGCAAACAATGAAGACATTATTGCAAATAATTGTATGTAAATAAATGCATAAGGTGATAATGCAGACCCAACATGAAGTTGGCTGTGGTTAATGTAGCAAATATAACAAAATCAAAAACAAATGCAAACACCGATGTCTACAAGAGTCAGGAAGTGGGCTGGCTTCCAGAGCAGTTATAACCTCAAGACGTAATTTATTGATTTCCGATATGCGAGTAAAGTTAGAGCTCGATACAGTATGAATAGTATTGAGTAAATTTATGGCACGCTAGGGCAAAATACATTTAGGCTTAAAAAGGTATCAAATATTCATTTCAACCCCTCTTTAATCATTCATTAATAATTTAGTAGCTGTTCATTGTAGCTCGTTAGCACTGTAGTTTCGTTCGTTCGTTTGCTTGTAGGCATTTCTCTCTGTCGAATGGACAATTTTTGCTGCGAACTTTTTTCATATACATGTACATACTTTTATGTATGTGTGCATGTATATGTATGTGTATGTATATACATTTTGTATTTTATGCTTTTATAAATAACCTTAAATGATTTTTCTGCGCCACAAGCAAGCGACGAAAAGTGTCAATGTCAGCTCAGCTCGGCTCAGCTGTCGCTGTTACCCAACAAAACAACAACTGCTAAACAATAATAACAACGAGAGCAACAACAAGAGCAAGAGCAACAACAACAATAACAGCAAACTAAAAGAAGAGGCGAAAAAATCGAAGAGCTGTGCTAAATTTATTATTCAGCTGTCGCCATTGCTGTTGCTTATAAGAGAAGGGGGCCTGGTTTTTGTTTTTGGCATTTGTATTAGTGTTGCTCTCATTTCATTTATTTTCTTTTTGCTCTTGCTCATTACATGTCCTCTAGTCGGGCAGTGCCTGTGAATGAGTGTGTGTTGGTCAGTCCAGTTATCCCGCGCTCTCTTCATAATTCTAACGGTAACACGTGTCGTTAATTGCTTCATGCATGCGCTGCAACAACCGAATGAAAGAATGAGAGAGAGAGAGCGAGAGCGTAACAATTGATGCATACGTTTTGCACAGATCTTAATGAATTTTTTGGGCTGCACTTGTAATACCCTGTAATCAATGTATTTCAAAGGAATTCATAAACAAACGTCTAACAGAAAGAAATTAAATGCTTATTGGTACCTTATAAAATATATATAATTATACAAATAATTAATATATTAGTTTTTATGTCGTTTCCTTGCAATTCTTTTTGCAGGGTGTTTTTCTAGTCACAATTACACTTATTGTTTATAGCTCAAAATCCATCCTCCACAACAAGAAAGATCGAAAAAGATGAAAAAAAAAATCCATGTTGCAATCGTGTTGGCTCCGTCGCCGTCGCTGTCGCCGTCGTCTGCCCACTTGAGCTGTTGCACGTATTCGTAACAAATAACAAAAACAAAACCAACACTCGAAATATTGCGGTTGCCAGCGTCTAGCATAAGAGACTTTTGCCTAGTTTTGAACATCAAAAAATAATAATAAAACAAACTCCCACAACTATGAAACGAGAACGTCGCACACGCACAGTGGTTGAATGCTGTTATGCAATAGATGGAAATTGCCTGGCTTTCGGAGAGTGTTGATTGGCTTTGAGAAACGTTCAGATTTTATCGTTCGACAGCTTTAACTGCATTTGCAATGGCAACTGAGCAAATGGCTCATAAATAATAATTGATTATTCAAAAAGGAAGATTTATTTTTATTGCTTTGATTACAGATTTCTTAGTATACGTAAATGCAATAAAAAAAAGAAAAGGAAATAAAAGCAAATCTGCTTTATTAATAAAAAGCAAAAGCAAAACACTTTCAGTTGGTTTTGTAAATGCTTAAAGAAATCTTAGGAAATGTATTCGTTTATCTATAAATCTAATCTAAAAGCAAACTTTTTCCGCTGCTAAATGGCTCGAATGAACTCTTCAGATCTCAATGGGTCGCTCTGCCAGCGCAGCTTCCAGTTTCCAGTTCAGTTTCCAGTGGACTGTGGCTTATTTTAGCTGTAGTTTAGCCTTTTTCTGTTGCTGTAGTTGTTTAGCTTCTTTTGTTTTGCGGCTGTTGTAATAGGAGTTGTTGTTGTTGTTGTTGGCTGGCTGGCAGCTGTTGCAAGCTCTATTATTATGCGGCATCTTCTACAAGTCACAGTGAGGTTGGGGGTGCCAGCCTCTGGGTAACTGAATAGTGAAAATTGAGCTGTTTTTTTCTTCTCTCTTCCTCTTCTTCTTCTTCTACGGCTGTTGTTTTCAACGTTTCTCTAGCTAATTTTCGGCTACTTTTGCAATCGACTCCCACAGCGTCGCGACCGGCTAATCCCTCAGTCTCGATTCTCTCGCGTTTCGCTTGTTTTTCCAACATCTCCGCCATTCGTCAAATTGAGTTAGCGAAAATTACTATAATTTTGTGGGAAATTTTATGGGTCAAATTTTGTGCTGTGCTGTTGACAATGGGGCAGCGAAAACTCGCTAAGAAAATATAGCCAGACGCTGACCGCAGCTGTTTTATTTCAGTTTTATTTTTTTCTCCGTTTTTTGTTTCTATTTTATTTTTGGTTATATGTATATATTTTCCACTAATTTGCTTAATTAGCAGCTCGACTCACATTTTTCATTGTTTAGCCCTTATTTGGGTCTATGTATTTAACTTTAGTTGTTTTATTACTTTGTCTCCTCGTCTGTTCTTCTATTATTATTATTTTGTTTCTTGCCTATTTTGATTGCATTTGACATTTTTGCATTTCTCTCACGTTTGGGCCGCTGTACAAATTTATAGCCAAAGCCTGAGAGTGCGGATCGTTGCGGTGAATGAAGTAAAATGTGAAGTGAAGTGAATTGACTTTGCTTTGCTTCGCTTTGGATTGGTTCGGAATGGAACCACAGCCAGACAGATAATGCATGGGTGAGAGGGGGAGGGGAGGGCAGACTCAACTTGATTGCTGTAAACGTGATGTGCGGCGCTTTG